GATTGTAATATGACGGATAAAAATAGTACATGACCGATTTTTTTTATGTTGTTGGTCAAGATGACGGATAACAAAAAAGTCTGCGACCTCTGATCAGAGCAGCCACAACTTAATCACATACATTTTACTATTTAAAACACCTTTGTTTGTAAATTAGTTCTACACAGAACTGCTCAGGTAGCAGACTGAGTTTCTACTGCTTCAAATTATGTAAGAAAAAACAACCAAAAACATATCCCCTTAAGTACCTTTTACTAATTATTAATCAGTTAATCAAAAAAGAAGTTAACAGATCAGCTGTTCACTGTGCTGTTAAGTCAGTCAGAAAGGGCTCAGCCTTTCACATGTTTAAACTATTTTTTCTGCAGACACATCCAGTTCTAGCATACACTAACATAATGTTATGTTGTTGCGTTTTACGCAATGAAATGTTTTATTTTCTTATTTAAAAAGGGAATTGAATTACTCACTTGCATCATTTAATATATTTCTAAATGTATAAAAAAGCTGAAGTGGTTAAAATCTGTAGAATGTGGAGAATCAATCGTCAGAATAATTGATTAAACACTAGAACAATCGATTAGCAATGGTGAGTTGCTTCCCTGGTGGCGGTTAGCCGTCCGTCCTCTCACCAGTTGCTCTCATCTCTTTGCAGCTTCAGCAGCAGTGTTGCTGGCCAGAGTCTGTAAAAATCCCTTTTGGGGCTGAGAGGAAGTGATGCGTTAACAGACCCCGGCCTCGGCCTGAAGGCAGCTCCTCTCCTGCTGCCATGCTGCTGACCTCTGACCCTGTGACCAGAGGACCCTCCACTCTGTTCCGTCAGAACCAGCTCCAGTGCCTTGTGACAGGACGTGTCTGTAGCCCCTCCCCCACCTGTTTCTCCTCTTTTTTTCTTCCTCAGCCCTCCAAGTCGAAGTTAACCCGCTAAGCTGTGCTTGCTGGATGCAACATCAGGCGGTGAGTCTGACCCAACGCAGCTCTGTGGGATCCGAGCCGAGGTCAGAGCCCAGCTGTTCTTCCAGCCATTTAAACTTTAAACCTTGCACTCTTTTCGCAAGGCGAGCTGCGGGGTTTATTAACGTGGCTGCTGAGTGATGGAAGGGTCCCAAGGCTCAGGAAGGGCACCAAGCCCCACCCTTCTTATAGATGTAGACTGTGGTGTGTATGTGAAGTGTGTGGGAGGAGGACGATGTGCTGCGATCTGCTGCTGGAAGCGCTGGTTCTGTTCCTGAGCACAGAGAGACGACTTCAGGAACATCTCTGTCTCGTCTTCATGTTGGAGCAGGTTTTCCTGCAAATTATCAGCGTGTTTGCTCTTCCTTTCACTGTGTTACTGTTTAATTGTGTGTGACGATGGTTTAAAGGTCATGTATAAACTTTATTTTAGGGTCTTTCTAAAAGCAGGTTTCAGTTCACATGTTTCCTGACATAAATAGTGAATGGATATTGTGAGCCGAACCGTCCTCTGATGGCTCAGCGTCTGTCAGGATGGGATTGTCAAAAGGAGACGAGGAAACGGGCTGATTGCAGTGCCCCAGATGGCCATCTGCCTGAGATTAAAGAATAGATTTGTCTCTGAAAAGTAATTTAGAAGACGACTGTAATCCAGGTCTGATGCCAGCTGGGCGAGTAAAGCGACGTCATTTACTGGGATAAGTAGAGTGGTGCCGTAGAGCAACGAGCCCTCTGCTCTTTCCCTCAGATTGTTGGATATTTTTATCCTCCTGAATCCAAAATAACCCGGTCCGGTTCAAGGCGAGAGTAAAGTCCTCCTCCTTCAACCTCCACATTTTCTCATGTTTCAACCAAAAACATCACAGAGTTTTATTTGGACTTTATTTGACAGATGGAGACTAAGAGCAGCATGAAGGAAAATCATTCATGGTTTAAAAGTGTTTAAAAGAGGAAAAATCTGAAAAGTTTGGTGTGCAGTGGTGTGTCAGGATAAAGTGGGTGGACCACTTTATCCTGACACCCCTAAATAAAATCCAGTTTCTCTCAGAAGTTGGGTCCAGTCAACGTCTGCTGGCGATGGCTGCATCATTTCTCTCTTTGTTGCTCATTTGCATAAGCAAACATTGAACATTATAACATTTTCAGCTTCAGCTGGTTTAGCTCATCCGTTTCAAATCTTCAAGTAAATAAATTTCACACATTAACGACTTTCACAGACAAATGAGGTTTCATGAAAATGTAACTTACAGTTCCTGGATTAACCTTTAGGTCTGAGAAAAAGATGAGCTTTCATTAAAAAAAATCAGTGGATCATTACAAAATGTAACAAAGTTGTCAAAGTTTTTCAGTTTTAGTGAAAACATACAGGTTTTTTGTCCAAAGTGTTAGTATTTGGGTTTGATGGCGCCTTTAGAGGCCTGGTGATTGTTGCCGTCACTCAGTAGCTTCAGTGGAGCAACTTTTTAAAATTTCTCTAAATGTCTTTAGGTTTGATTTTGCAACTCTGCTCACTAGTTTCATGTTGTTGTGTTTTTATTATTATTTGAAATGAACAAAACCAGAATGCTTGACTTCTGAAACTGGCTCAACCTGTGACTTTCAATTGAAAAATGTATCAAATTATTTATGTTCACTGATGACTACTGCAGGCCAGACATTTCAGAATCATATTTGTGTAAAGAAACATTAAAAGAAATGTCCTTAAAGTTTGAAGGAGTATGAATTATTTGTTAGTTGTAAAGTGTTGGGATGCACCCGACTGCCCCAGGCCTCTTAGTGCCCCTCTCCCAGTTGCCCCAACTCAACACAAACAGCTCAGGGTTTGATCCCAGGGATTAAATCCTTCATGTTAGGATCGTCATGAAAATATCCAACGTTTGGAAAAGTTTTCACCCTTCTGACCTCAGATCCAAGGAGTTTAATACAAACTGAACTTCTGTCCAGCTGATTGGCTCAAACACACAGACGTGTCAGAGCGTGATTCATGGTGGAAATAATAATACTTTCAGCACTGCACTGAAATGATTATAATGTAGAAAAGTTTGAATGTAACTCCAGCAGTCATTTTGTTTCCCTCGTCTTAAAGGTCAAAGGTTTTTCATGGTGTAACTACTGAAATGTTGTTCAATAAATGATTTGTGGTTAATAGCTCTGGTTCAGTGATTGAAAGCTGCCTCTGCTCTGCACTGCCTGTTTCAAATGCTGCACTGCTCCATGTTCATTATAATGTCAACATCAAGACGTTTCAATGTGTTTCTCTTCCTGTGCAACCAGGAGAGGGAATCTGTTTCCTGTTTTGTTTGCTGTGAGAACCTTTGCTCTGTTTCTCTGCGTTGGTGTGAGCTCACATCGTGTCTGATTTGGTGAAACTTTAGTACTTGAAAGTGTGAACTGTTTTTTCTCAGGCTGTGTGGAAGTCCATCAGACGTGTTTTTGTTTGTGCACTATGCTGTTCACATGTTTTCCTTCAGACTTGTTTTCTTTGATTCATCCTTGGATTTCTGTGTCGTATGGAAGTTTTATTTTTCTCACCATGTTTTGATGAGTGAATCCAGTCAGAATCAGTGGAGGACTGCAGTCGTGACGCTGAGTTTTACTTCAGCTGGTCCTCTGACATTTTACTTGAACTTGATGTGATTTTTGTTGGATTCCCTGACGTCCTCCATGTTTCCTGTTCATCTTGCACTGGCTCCGCCCACACACCTTTTTGGGAGTTTTGACTTCAACTGCTGATGTGAGGAGCTGCCAGAAACTGCCTCTTTATGGTTTAATATCATATACAATAAAACACTTTATAAGCCAAATCATGTGCGTTTCTTTCTTGTGTTTGCTGTAAATGTCTGCTATTTTATTAATATGGTTTAAATATTCCACAAATTCAAAGTGTCCATGTGGGTTAGAAATGTGACACTAAAACAAGTACAGAAAAAGGAATCTTCAGGAGAATCTTCTGAAGATTTGAGGAGAAAATAAGAGTAAGCATATTCATCTGTAATATGAACTTGCTGTTTCAAAGTGTTGCCACGTTTGCATTTATCTAGGTTTAATGTTTAACTGTTTCCCAGCAGTCCAAATGGGTCTTTAAGGAAGTTCTGCATTTCTAAATAAAACCTCTGAGTCTTATCGACTATATTTAATATCTGTGCAAACTGGAAAATCCCAGAGTTCAGGTTTTCCTCCTCTAGCTTCCTGGCAAAGATTTACTCTGAGGTCAAAGGTTGATGGAAGAGGAAGTCTGATCATTTTTTCATGGTTATAAAGTCAGGTGATTTATTTACTTTTTTATTTATTTATTTATTTATTTTACAAAATGTCACTTTAAACATATTTTTTTCCATTTTGAAACAGTGGACACAGACGAGCTTAATACTTCACTTTTAATTGTAGTTTTGTAAACAAAGATGTATCAAAAGTCACAATCAGTCACATTATACACATTTGTCATTGGCACATGTGGATCCCATCCAACAAAGTTCACATTTCCACACCAGCTCAGTAAATGTGCTGAGCTGTTTGGCCTGGACTTCAGGATTCTATGTCAGTCGGTACCAAACGTTCTGCTCCAAACAGAACCGGTCAGATGTTCTTATCTCAGAATACAAGCTCGGGTCAAAGTGCAAATGTGTCAAAGTTTTTTCTACTCCTTGCAGAACTGCGTACATGACTTCTGCTTGTGGGGAAGTAGCCATTTTAAAACAGAAACGTTGACAGAAATGGAGCTGTAAAGTCTGAATGAATCAGTGAAAAGCCCTTCATTCATCACTGCAGGGTAACCAGGTCTGGTCCCAGCTACAGCATCAGAGGCAGCAGACACGTTGCTAGCCCATCACACAAATTACCAAGAATCCAACTCTTCAAATGAAAGTGTCGTGGTGAAGTCCTGTAAGTTGAGCTGCTCATCCTTTCAAGCCGGACCTGCTGATCGACTGGTCAATGGTGGTAGTGGTTGCCGTGGTGCTGATGTGGGGTCCGTTTCTCATGCAGCGCATGTTTCCGGTGGTGAACACACACTGCAGAGGCCACAGCACCACTATGACCAGCAGCACCATGAGCACCACAAACAGCACCATCCTCTTCCATTCTGCCAGTCGGCCTATCAGACCCGAGCTCCGGCGCCTGGTCTGGACCGGAGCATCCACTGACTTACTGGCCCCGATGTCGATGCAGATGCAGAAGGCCGTGGGGCTGCCAGGCGCTCCGGAGAGGGCGTCCTGTCTGGAGGTCTTGTAGCACAGCTTCTCCCCCTCCAGCCACACGGGCTCCTCCTGCTGCTGGTGGCTGGGCAGTTTGCAGAGGACCTCCCGGCTGGTTGCCAGGGCGGGGGGCCCATCCTCTGGCAGCATAGTGGGATGGCGGCAGAAGGGGCAAGAGAGGCGTGTGCTGCCAGCACCCTCATCTTGATCGGTCAGGGAGATGGCCATGAGGCGAGACAGGCACTCCAGGCAAAAGGTGTGGGTGCACTCCAGCAGCTTGGGTGTTTTGAAGACGTTGTCGTAGCTGTTGTAGCAGATGGAGCACTCCGGCTGGCCGGCCACCGATATCTTCTTCTGAAGCTCATCTGGAACTTCCTGTCCAGGAATCTGCATGTGCCAGATCTGTGGAGTGTTTTCTCCCATCTTACAAGATGTCAGGATTCCTCTCTTTGTCAAAGTCTCCTCTTTGACACTTTGGTCTTTTTTGCTCTGTGAATTCTGAGTTATCTACAAAGAATGAATAAAGAGGAGAGATTTGTTATAATGTAAAATCAGTTTTTCATCCAACTCTTACAATAATCCTAACAAGTCAACCAAAGCAGATTTTATGCAAGCTACAGCTGTTTGAACCGTGAGCTATTTTTACCTTCCTTCGCACACAGATACTACAAAGTTGATTGGATTTTGCTCTGCAAGGTCAGCAATTCAGTCAGGATGAGGCGAATCAGATCAAACATGATGAATAATGTCAATTTACTCAGTCATCAGGCAAAAACAAACAGTAAAAACAGCAAATAGGAGAACATGTCAGTCAACATTTGCTATGTGGGCATCTACTCAGGTACAGCATAGGCTTTAACTAGGACACAGCGTCCCTCATGGAAGAGTTTCAGTCATGAAAACATTTTAACCTGGAATAGAAAAGGTAAAAAAGACATTTGATTCAACCTTAAATCAAAGAACTTATAAATATGTTGTGTGACTAAACTTCTTTCAGAGCTAACTGTTGTGTAGAGGGTAAAATGTTAAACTGTCTAAACAGGAAGTGAGGGAGGGAAGAATTAAAGAGTGGATAAAAAGAGCTGAGTGTCATCGGCACAACAGTGCAGTGAATGTTTAATTTACGGAAGATATTGGCAAGGGGGAGAATAGATGATGAAAAGGTCCAAAGGAACTGTTCTAGGTCCAAGGTTTAGTTTAGTTTAGTTTAGTTTAGTTTAGTTTAGTTTAGTTTAGTTTAGTTTAGTTTGGATCCATGTTTAGCTGCATTAATGCTGCTGCTGTTTAGTGATCCATATTACATCAATGCATCAATAAAACACTTTTTAGAAATGAAATAAAAAATAAAAACACATGGAAGTCAACTTGGCAGCATACATGTAATTTCAGGTTAAACACATAATTAACTGGTGTAATTATTAGTCAACAACTTGGACTTACATTGTTTACAATTTACTAAAATATTGTTTAAAATTATTACTGTCCTTTGGCATTATACTACAGAACAACAGTTCTTTTCTGTAAAATGAATCTCTTTTTAATAGCATGCCTAGTAAAATAAGTTTTATTTTGACTAAATATTTTGAAATAAAATAAAAAATATACTATGTTCTAGTATAAACATCTATGATTTTTATACAATATTTCTGAAAAACACAAGTGGTGAGTAATTTAATCTATATTTGACATAAAGTCATTCTAACATGCATTTTTCTGACACTTCTAGAGCAGTGAAGTAGAATCTGATCTTTTCTGTTTTGGATAATTTGAAGACTATTAATATTCTGTAAATCCACTAAACCAGACCATGAGACAGAATTAAGGCTTGGGTTATGATTCTTATAGCATCTGAAGTACTTCATCTGACAATTACTAACCCTCTACCCGTCAATGATGCTGCAGCATCTGTGAATAATGTGTTTTCCCTATAAAAAGTAATGGTGGCAGATTGACTGGCTGCAGTTTGACAGAGGCACCAGCAGAGGGCGCTGGTTACACCGTCATACACAGGTCATGAACCTTTTCATGCTACATCCACAAACTTTCACGTATTTTATTAAGATTTTACATTTTAGATCAACAGAAAATTGGTCTAAAATATAGACACATCATTATGAAGTGGAAGTAAAATGATATACTGCATTCAAGATCAACAAAACAGGTGTGGACTCTTTTTTGCAAGCCTCATCAAGTATTCAGACTTCTGCACCTTCTTTGTGTTCGTTCCAACTGCCTGTTTATATATATATATATATATATATATATATATATATATATATATA